TCTCTGTCTCGGTCTCTCTGTCTCTCTCTCTCTCTCTCTCTCTCTCTCTCTCTCTCTCTCTCTCTCTCTCTCTCTCTCTCTCTCTCTCTCTCTCTCTCTCTCTCTCTCTCTCTCTCCCTCTCTCTCTCTCTTTCTCTTTTTATCTCTCTCTCTCTCTTCCTCTGTCTCTCTCTCTCTCTGTCTCTCTGTCTCTCTCTCTCTCTCTCTCTCTCTCTCTCTCTCTCTCTCTCTCTCTCTCTCTCTCTCTGTCTCTGTCTCTGTCTCTCTCTCTCTCTCTCTCTCTCTCTCTCTCTCTCTCTCTCTCTCTCTCTCTCTCTCTCTCTCTGTCTCAGCACTAGTGAAGCAGTGCACAACAGAACGCTCTATTTACATATTCCTTCATTGCAACGTGTATACAGTCTAATGTTCTTGTTTACAACCATAATATATATGCACTTCAGCCTACAGTTTAGACCTAATGTGCTGTACATGGCCCTCTGTCCTGTGTGTCAGTCAATACCACCATTATCCTCACTCTAATATGACCTAATTGCATTCCCCAGATTAGGCAAAATTGTAATTATTTTTTGTCAGTAAAGATGTTAATACTAATATAAATCTCTGTCTCCTGATCACTATTTCTTCTTAAAGCCTGTGTCCTCAGGTCCCTGTTCTTCTCCCTAAATTCCTTTAGGATAGGGGATGACAAGAGGTAATCCCAGGAACTCTAAACCTGAAAGAAAGGGTTTTCTTCCTACCTTTTCTTTCTTCCTTGCGGGGGTTGAGCTCTGGCTCTTTGGTCCCGCCTCTCAACCGTCAATCAACTGGTGTACAGATTCCTGAGCCTATTGTGTGTGTGTATGTGTGTGTGTGCGTGTGCGTGTGTGTGTGTGTGTGTGTTATTGGGGAGTGTTGTGCATGCTGCAATGGCCGTCAGATCACTCACAGGATGAGTGACGCTGCCCAATAAACTCGCCCCTCGGGGCAAAATTGAAATTTAACAAGACTTTACAAAAAAAAACAGAAACCACCTCTTACACTTCTCCAGAAAGTCGAAGTGTAAGAGGGGATTAAACTTTCTTGTACTGATAAAAAAGATAAAATGTCTCAGTGATAAATAATTGGTATTTTAAGCTGCTTTTGTTTTGCCATATGTTGTGGGTCAGTAGGTGACATAGGCCTAAGGGGAGACTTCGATAGGCCTAAGGGGAAAATTCGATAGGCCTAAGACTACCTGCCCCCCCCGACTATGGGAACCACAAGACGAACCAAATAACTTAAGCACACTCGGGTAACAATAGTAAACGCCATTCATTGGTAACCACGAAACAATCCAACAATCAATTAGCATAACATCTATCAGGCCATTAGGGTCCGCTTTCCCTGACCGCCAGCCAGGAATTCCATCCTTATCAGTCAATCTTGGGAGACGGGAGAAGACCTCAGGTGAGACGCTGTACCTTGTACTAATTACAGGTGAGAACGCAGTCACCTGTGTCCTGCAGCCACTCACAGCCGGCGATGAGGAGCCGCAGCGGCACATATTATGAGGGGATATAATGAGAGCCCCTAATGAAGAGGTATACTCATGTCATATGAGGATATATCTCAACGTCTTGTAATCATGAGGACGTAGGGGGGGGGGGACACAGTAAAGTGTAGGCCGTAGATAAAGAAAGTCCAGGATGTAGAAGTAGATGACAAGTAGATACGAGATTAGATAAGTGTGGAAAACATCCAAGAGGTAATTTGTTCAAGGTTAGGCCCTGTGGGGTGGGGGGGGGGGGAGCCGGATAGATAAAGATATAACATTGGATAGATAAATAAGAGAGGAGCTGAGGGAACACTGACCCTCTGTTGTTGTTGTTGTTTTAGATTTAGCTACTCAGAACGCAATGTCCATGTAGCACGGGCTATGGTGATCCCCGTAATTGAGTTCGGGTTATTCGCGATCACCTTTTTACTGTGATATTTGGGGTCAAAGTTTTATATGAAGGTGGGGGAGATTCCTCCTTTTTCCCCTGTTTGGTTTTCGCTTCTGTTTTAGCCCACTGGTTTTAGTCTTATTTTAATAACATTATCTTGCTACAACACCCGGGAGCCGGTCGGCCGAGCGGACAGCACGCTGGACTTGTGATCCTGTGGTCCCGGGTTCGATCCCAGGCGCCGGTGAGAAACAATGGGCAGAGTCGCACACAGAGATCACACTAACGTGATTTGTTCAATGGGCAGAGTTTCTTTCACCTTATGCCCCTGTTACCGTAGCAGTAAAATAGGTACCTGGGTGTTAGTCAGCTGTCACGGGCTGCTTCCTGGGGGTGGAGGCCTGGTCGAGGACCGGGCCGCGGGGACACTAAAAGCCCCCGAAATCATCTCAAGATAACCTCTCAAGATAGCCATGTACACCCACGCTACAGGTGGGATACACTGACAGAGAGAGTTGAGGTACAGGAGTGACAGACCTGACAGACCTGACAGACCTGACAGTGACGCCTGTCACCGGCTACGACTCTACTGAGAATAATGATGTTCTTCCCGTGTCAGCATCTTAACAGGCCGCGGGGGGCAGGGGGGGGGGGGGATTGTATTGTAATTGAAATAGGTTTATTGCTGTATACACACAGAGAGATGAGGCAGGTGAAGGTATTCTCACCTCGCTGGGGGTGAGAATAGCGCTGCTGTCATCACTGTGGAAGTGAAAGCAGGAATTGGTTAGTTAGTGACAATGGAAATACAATAATTACCAGTCATTGAAACACACTTGATACAGTGATTGTTGCTGTAACCGGGGTAGCGCCTCGGCAAGCACTGACGCAACACCTTACGAAACCTGTACATCTTTCCTCAGTCATAAAGGAGGCAAGATGGTTTGAGTGGTGTCAATCTCTATATAGTAGGCTTGGCCATATTAAAAACCATTCCATATGCAGGTCGTGCTGGGGAACAAGGGATATTAGACCTTATCAATGCATCTTGGAAGATCAGCAAACTACCAACCTCTTGGAAGAAAACAGAAAGCATTCCGATTTCTAAGCCGAAAGACACTGGCAGCCGAGCGGACAGCACGCTGGACTTGTGATCCTGTGGTCCTGGGTTCGATCCCAGGCGTCGACGAGAAACAATGGGCAGAGTTTCTTTCACCCTATGCCCCTGTTACCTAGCAGTAAAATAGGTACCTGGGTGTTAGTCAGCTGTCACTGGCTGCTTCCTGGGGGTGAAGTCCTGGTCGAGGACCGGGCCGCGGGGACACTAAAGCCCCAAAACTATCTCAAGATAACCTCAAGATAACCTCGTGTATATATATATGTGGCAACCGTAGGGTTAATATGTGTCTGCAGCTGATGCCATCAGGGAGGGGACTCACACCTGATGCCCTTGTGTAGGTCAGCAGACCTACAGGGGGCTATCACAGCTCAGTGATTGTAGCACTGCCGCCAATATTACTATTACTAATGGTGGTGGTGATGGTGATATAATGGCACATGCCCCTTGTGTAAGTTATCGGCTTATCGATCCTGGAGTTGGGCGCCGCCTTGCGTTGGGCCAGTCCCTGGTGGCACTCAGACACAGCGGTATCGGCTAAAGTTGTTCCAAACTTTTCGCTAATTCATCTTCTGAGCGGAGAGTTCTTGCTTAGTATCCCCCTTTCTGACTCACGTTTTCTCTTGCGATATATTTCCATTAGAAAATGGGAATTTTTTAAGACAAACTTAGCTTTTAATTTTTTTTCTTAACTCGCTTTTGGAAAATGCCTTTAGAACACTGCCTTTTGACGGTGGTGGAATGGAATTAGTGTTTCATCTCTTGTAGGGTCTCCGTGGTACAGTTGGGTTCGTTCTCGACTAAGAATCGCAAATCCCGGGTTGGAATCCCGGGCGGAACAAAAACGGTTAGGCACGCTTCCTATCACCTAGTTCCTTTGATCTCCTAGACGTAAATAGGTACCAGGGTCTAAGTCCATTCTTGTGGGCTCGCCTCCTTGGGTGAGTACCTTTGTATAAACTTACTAGTATTTATATGCGAACAAGCCTGAATGGTCCCCAGGACTAAATGCAACTGAAAACTCACACCCCAGAAGTGACTCGAACCCATACTGCCAGGAGCAATGCAACTGGTGAGTACAGGACACCTTAATCCACTCGACCATCACGACCGGTCAAAAGCTGATGGTAGCCGAGGCTATTTTGCCCATCAGCCCGCCGGCACTCTGATGGTAATCTTGGGCATAGTATTTTTAGTACTTATATATATACGAGTAAGCATATATACATTTTCTTCTGTCCTCCATGGACAGGGTTAGAGATCTGTTAAACATATAGCGCAGTGCGTGTATAGTTTTAGCCTCATGATACCAGCTGAATTCTGGTATCTTTACTTATCTTAACGTAATTCTGAACGTTTTTTTTTTTTTTTTTTTTTTTTTTTTTTTTTTGAGATATATAGAAGAGTTGTTACATGGTTGTAGAGCCACTAGTACGCGTAGCGTTTCGGGCAAGTCCCAGGAATACGATCCCCGCCGCGAAGAATCCTTGTTACAACCAAGTACACATTTTACTGTTGCGTTAAACAGAGGCTACAGTTAAGGATTTGCGCCCAGTAAATCCTCCCCGGCCAGGATACGAACCCATGACATAGCGCTCGCGGAACGCTAGGCGAGTGTCTTACCACTACACCACGGAGACTGATTTCTTAATTTCTTAAGATCGGAGATCTTAATTTCAGGTAAACAAAAGCTACGAGAATATGGGCGGCTCAGATGACAATAATATTCTCGAGTTTATTAAACAAAAAAGTTATAATATTATTAAATTTTAGATTAGTTTACGGCTAAATTAACGGCTAAATTTTATTATTTTTTTAAGGGCATGTTTTATGTTCTTCATGTTTGAGATAATTGACTTTGGATTGTGTTTGGTAACATGTTAAGCTTCGCTTGTGTATGCTGACATTTTCTTGACAATTGTTGATTTTGCAATTGTTGAATTGTTGATAGAGATGACATGTTGTTGTTGTTTTTGCAGGCTCAACCGCTTCAGGCGGGGGCGGGTCCCGGGCCTCTAGAGACTCCCGCGTGCTTGGCTCCTCCCTCGTCAACACCGTCTCAGGTACTCCTCATCTTCCTCATAATCTTCCTCCTCGTCCTGTATATGACTGTTTATCCTCCTTCCCAACACAGACTTTACAAGATCACTTGACAATATGCTTATTAAAAGGGTATTAAAAGTATCAACACAAGACAGAACACGAAACAATGGGTATAAATTGGATAAGTTTAGATTTAGGAAAGACTTGGGTAAATACTGGTTCGGTAACAGGGTGGTTGGTTTGATTTGTGGAACCAATTACCGCGTAACGTGGTGGAGGTGGGGTCCCTCGATTGTTTCAAGCGCGGGTTGGACAAGTATATGAGTGGGATTGGGTGGTTATAGATAGGAACTGCCTCGTATGGGCCAATAGGCCTTCTGCAGTTACCTTTGTTCTTATGTTCTTATAAGAACAAAGGTAACTGCAGAAGGCCTATTGGCCCATACGAGGCACCTCCTATCTATAACCACCCAATCCCACTCATATACATGTCCAACCCACGCTTGAAACAATCGAGGGACCCCACCTCCACCACGTTACATAAGAACATAAGAACATAAGAACAAAGGTAACTGCAGAAGGCCTATTGGCCCATACGAGGCAGCTCCTATTCTATAACCACCCAATCCCACTCATATACTTGTCCAACCCGTGCTTGAAACAATCGAGGGACCCCACCTCCACAATGTTACGCGGCAATTGGTTCCACAAATCAACAACCCTGTTACTGAACCAGTATTTACCCAAGTCTTTCCTAAATCTAAACTTATCCAATTTATATCCATTGTTTCGTGTTCTGTCCTGTGTTGATACTTTTAATACCCTATTAATATCCCCCCGGTTATGTCCATTCATCCACTTGTAAACCTCTATCATGTCACCCCTAACTCTTCGCCTTTCCAGTGAATGCAACTTAAGCTTTGTTAATCTTTCTTCATATGAAAGATTTCTAATTTGGGGAATTAACTTAGTCATCCTACGCTGGACACGTTCAAGTGAATTTATATCCATTCTATAATATGGCGACCAAAACTGAACTGCATAATCTAAATGGGGCCTAACTAGAGCAAGATATAGCTTGAGAACCACACCAGGTGTCTTGTTACTAACGCTGCGATTAATAAATCCAAGTGTCCGATTTGCCTTATTACGAACATTTATGCATTGATCCTTTTGTTTTAAATTCTTACTAATCATAACTCCCAGATCCCTTTCGCAATCCGACTTCGCAATCACAACACCATCTAGCTCGTATCTTGTAACTCTATCATCATTACCTAACCTCAGAACTTTACATTTATCAGCATTAAACTGCATCTGCCAATCCTTTGACCATTTCAAAACCCTATCTAGATCAACTTGAAGTGATAGTGAATCCTCCTCCGAATTAATTTCCCTACCGATTTTCGTATCATCGGCAAATTTGCAAATGTTGCTACTCAAACCTGAATCTAAATCATTTATATATATTATAAACAACAGAGGTCCCAGGACAGAGCCTTGAGGCACTCCACTTACAACATTTTCCCACTCTGACTTGATTCCATTTATACTAACTCTCTGTTTCCTTTGGTATAGCCATGCCCTAATCCAGCTTAATATAGCACCCCCAATACCATGAGACTCTATTTTTTTAATCAGTCTTTCATGTGGCACTGTATCAAAAGCTTTGCTAAAGTCAAGGTATACAACATCGCAATCCTTACCACTATCAACTGCCTCAACAATGCTAGAATAAAAAGATAACAAATTTGTTAAACATGAACGGCCATTTATAAAACCATGTTGCGACTCAATTATTAATTTATGTTTTTCAAGATGAAGACGAATTTTATTTGCTATTATAGATTCGAGTAACTTTCCCACAATAGACGTTAGGCTAATTGGTCGATAGTTAGACGCAAGTGATCTATCTCCTTTCTTAAAAACTGGTATCACATTAGCAACTTTCCAAAACTCTGGCACTCTGCCTGACTCTATTGATTTATTAAATATGGTTGACAGTGGGTCACAAAGCTCCTCTTTGCATTCTTTAAGCACCCTAGCAAACACTTCATCCGGCCCTGGGGACTTATTTGGTTTGAGTTTTACTATTTGTTTAAGAACATCCTCCCTGGTAACTGCTAAACTCGTCAACCTGTCCTCGTCCCCACCCACATAGACTTGTTCGGCTGAAGGCATATTGTTAAGTTCCTCTTTAGTAAATACAGATACAAAATATTTATTAAAAATACTACTCATCTCTTCATCACTATCTGTTATTTGACCTGTCTCAGTTTTTAATGGACCTATCCTTTCCCTAGTCTTAGTACGATATAACTGAAAAAACCCTTTAGGATTTGTCTTTGCTTGCCCTGCTATGCGAACTTCATAGTTTCTTTTTGCTTTCCTTATCTCTTTTTAATATATCTAACCAGTTGTACGAATTCCTGTTCTAAAGTGACCTCCCCATTTTTAATCCTTTTGTACCAAGCTCTCTTTTACCTATAAGGTTCTTCAAATTCTTTGTTATCCACTTTGGGTCATTAGTATACGATCTATTCAATTTGTATGGTATACTACGTTCCTGTGCTTTGTTTAGAATATTCTTAAATAAGTTATATATTGAATCCACATCGAAATCCCCATTTAAGTCACCTATCGCTGGGTTCATGTCTCGCTCCAAGACCGGCCCACACCCCATACCCAAGCCTTTCCAATCAATTTGACCCAAAAAATTTCTTAGGCTATTAAAATCAGCTTTTCGAAAATCTGGCACTTTAACAGAATTTTCTCCTACTGGTCTATTCCATTCTATGCTAAATCTGATTTCTTTGTGATCACTGCTCCCTAGCTCACTCCCTATTTCGATGTCATTAATTTGCGTTTCCCTGTTAGTTAACACTAAATCTAAAATATTATTTTCCCGTGTTGGTTCCTTAATGTGTTGCGTAAGAAAGCAATCGTCAATTAATTCTAGAAAATCTTCTGCTTCACTATTCCCTGTTTTGTTCAACCAGTTTATTCCGCTAAAATTAAAGTCACCCATGACATAAATACTGTTAGATCTAGATGCTCTAGATATTTCATCCCATAGATGCTTTGCTTCCATTCTGTCTAAATTTGGTGGCCTATATATTACTCCTATTATAATATTATTAGCTTTTTCGTTTAATTCAATCCAAATAGTTTCTGTGTGTGGCTCTGTTTTGATTCCCTCTTTGAGACTACATTTCAAATTGTCCCTAACATATATGGCTACTCCACCTCCTCGTCTAATATATCTATCTGTGTGAAATAGTTTAAATCCATATATTTGATATTCAGCTAATAGTTCTCTATTTTCTACATTCATCCACGTTTCGGTAAGTGCAATAATATCTATTTTTTCTGTGCAGACAAGAGCATTTAATTCGTTAATTTTATTTCTTAGACTTCTACTGTTAGTGTAATATACCCTAAGTGAATTGTTATTTTGCGGACCTTCTCTTTCCCTGATCGTTTTGTCAATTCCTTTCTCCCACAAACACATACTTTTATTACCTCCTTCCTCCAAATCAATTCCCATACCTCTATCTACTAACAGTTTAAACCCAAACAAACACCTCTAACCACTTCTTCTAACGAGTTCGCAACAGCAACAACCCCAGCTCTCGATAGATGCACCCCATCACGAGCATACATTTCATTTCTTCCATAGAAGTGTTCCCAGTTGTCTATGAAAGATATTGCATTTGATTTGCAATATCTTTCCAGCCGGCAATTGACACCAAGTGCCCTCGATATCCATTCATTTCCCACTCCCTTTCTTGGAAGAATGCCACATATGATCGGGATTCCTCCCTTGCTCCTAACTAACTCTATGGCTGTTTTATACCTCTGAATCAGTTCCTCACTCCTGACTCGACCAACATCATTTCCTCCCACGCTAATGCAAATAATGGGATTGTTCCCATTACCAGCCATAATATCATTCATGTTGTTTATAATATCACCAATGCCAGCTCCGGGATAGCAAACCCTTAACCTGTTCCCCCTATCTCTAGCACAAAACGTTCTATCCAAATACCTTATCTGGGAATCTCCCACAACTAATGTTTGCTTAGGTACTTCCTTTACTTTCTGAGGGGCCTGCGCTTCCTTTCTCTTCGTTGCTTTCCCTTGTTACGCGGCAATTGGTTCACATCATAACATCTCAAAGAGTATTTTTGAGAGTGATTTGGGAGGTTTAGCGAGGAGTGGAGATGCCATAGTCACAGAGAGCTCTGTATTAACACCAGAGGGCTACTGCTCTCTTATATCCTGACCCAAAGAACATAAGAAATATTGCCGGAACAAACGTAGAGGTGTCCAAGAAACGATTAGAAAACTTCCTTGAAGTTCCTTGAAGAACTTATGGGTTCTTCTAGTGTACCCATAACTATGGCCCTGAGGTACCCAGTGGACCCATAACTATGGCCCTGAGGTACCCTGTGTACCCATAACTATGGTTATGAGGTACCCAGTGGACCCATAACTATGGCCCTGAGGTACCCAGTGTACCCATAACTATGGCCCTGAGGTACCCTGTGTACCATAACTATGGCCCTGAGGTACCCTGTGGACCCATAACTATGGCCCTGAGGTACCCAGTGGACCCATAACTATGACCCTGAGGTACCCAGTGGACCCATAACTATGGCCCTGAGGTACCCAGTGTACCCATAACTATGGCCCTGAGGTACCCAGTATACCCATAACTATGGCCCTGAGGTACCCAGTGGACCCATAACTATGGCCCTGAGGTACCCAGTGGACCCATAACTATGGCCCTGAGGTACCCAGTGGACCCATAACTATGGCCCTGAGGTACCCAGTGGACCCATAACTATGGCCCTGAGGTACCCAGTGTACCCATAACTATGGCCCTGAGGTACCCAGTGGACCCATAACTATGGCCCTGAGATACTGGCAGGTGGGCTGAATTAGCACCAATGTTGACGTTATAAATATTAAGTATGACATATTTGCAGTAATCAAGATATTGAAATTGAAATTGAATTGAAATTGAAATAAGTTTATTGAGGTAAAATACACACAAAGGGATGAGGTAGCTCAAGCTATTCTCACCCCATATAATCAAGATATAATGTGCTTAAAATATTGGCCGTGACCGGGGGAGGCTTCCGGGGCCGGTAATGCTAAGGTAGTTGTGCTAACGAGGCAGTTAGCGTGCCAAGGTTGACAGTGTCGGTAATTGACAGTTTGCTGGAACGAAGGTTGATTTCTGTTGGGGGGGTTAAGGCCTGTCAACCTCTGCAAGGTTATTAAGGCCACCACAGTTCCTTTACTGTCCAGACAGAAGGTATACTTTTGTCCTGTACTTGGTTCAGGACTAAAGTATACTCTCAGAGTATGTGCATGGGACAACTAACAAATTAAGTAGACTAATAGACGTTGTCACAGCTCGTATAAGACCTGTTGATTGACGGTTGAGAGGCGGGACCAAAGAGCCAGAGCTCAACCCCCGGAAACACAACTAGGTGAGTACTTGGCTACAAGTATCTCTGGCAGTTGGGCTTGTATAGGGATCTAGATGAAGTAAAGTGTAAAGTGTGTGGACAAAGACAGGGACACACACTCCAACACTATATCTTGGATTGTAGTAAAATTGAGCCATTTAGAGATAAATCAAAACTCACGCTGTATGATATGGCAACTTATCTTATTACTAAGGATAAAGTACCTGAAATCCTTGCACTGTATCCATATTTCACTCACAGTAGATAAACGACTTATGAGATTAAGAAACAAGTAGTGTATTGTGAAGACTAATAATAAACAGCTGCTCCACTATGACTGTTAATATCTCCATTGGTCAAACTATTATGTATTAGCGATAAGACCTATCATTAATGTATATAATGACTTACTGTATCTATATAGCTCTTGAAATAGAACATTCTCTGTAACTAGCTGACATTGATAAGGATAAGGTGTTAAAGATAGATGAAATTGTTAATGTAATAGTCTCCGTTGAGATCTGATAAAGACCTTTTATGCCCTCTGTAATCCTTTTTGCGCTACCACTCACAGGATGAGTATGGGGTGCACAATAATCTAGCCTCCTCCGACGGCAATAATAATAAATCTCAGTGTATATACATCGAGAAGCGGGTGTGTATATATATACACTCTCTTGGTGTATAAACAAAACTTGACATAAATATATGCAAAAAATGTAGTATATCATTAATACACTGAAAATACACACACATGCTATGTATGCAGACGAGGAGTCACAATAACGGGGCTGAAATATGTTGACCAGACCACACACAAGAAAGTGAAGGGACGACGACGACGTTTCGGTCCGTCCTGGACCATTCTCAAGTCGATTGTGAAGTCGACTTGAGTCGACTCTCAAGTCGAAGTCAAGATTCTCAAGTCGATCATTCACAGTCGACTTGAGAATGGTCCAAGACGGACCGAAACGTCGTCGTCCCTTCACCTTCTAGTGTGTGGTCTGGTCAACACATTTATGGTTAAGACAATCATAAATTCTAAGACTTGTGTCCGACGATAATCCAAATCTCTAACACTGAGGTAATTTGCTTCCCCAACAGGCGAGAAGAAGCGACCCGAACCTACAATTGGGGCGCGGCGCCCCCGCCTCGATAACGTCAAATCCACTATCCCCAAGCCTGGACGGCTTCCTCCCAGGAAACTAACAGGTAAGGACAACCCTCCCTTCGGCTTCTGGCCTGGCCTCTTGTTCGTATAACGGGCTATGGTGAGCCCGTAATTGAGTTCGGTGATTGGCGTTAACCTTGTTACTGTGATATTTAGGGTCAAAGTTTTAAATGGAGGTGGGGTTTCCGCCTTTTTCCCTGTTGCTTTTTCGCTTCTGTTTTAGTGTACTGGTTTGGCTTGGCCCTTCGTGTGTCCTATTATAGTCCTTTAAGCATGAGTCCCGATGGGTGGTTCTCACACTGGAGACACACAACACCACCGCCCCTATTAATACCTTGTTACAACGTGTTGTAAAGGTTGTTAGTATGACGTGTTAGGAAGTAGTTACGGCTTGTTAGATAAGGGTTTGAACTTGTTCGAACGTTGCAGCACCGTCGTGGCTTCGATCAACGTGTATGAAGGATCGTGGGCCTGATACGTAATCACTGCACCTCCATTGTACCGTACTGTACCCCCACTGTACCCTACTGTACCCTACTGTACCCCCCTCCTCCTACTTTACCCACTCCAACACACTACAGTTGTATGCTTCTCTGCAGACGAGGGATCACAATAACGGGGCTGAAATATGTTGACTAGACCACACACTAGAAGGTGAAGGGACGACGACGACGTTTCGGTCCGTCCTGGACCATTCTCAAGTCGATTGTGATTGATCGACTTGAGAATCTTGACTTCGACTTGAGAGTCGACTCAAGTCGACTTCATAATCGACTTGAGAATGGTCCAGGACGGACCGAAACGTCGTCGTCCCTTCACCTTCTAGTGTGTGTGTGGTCTGGTCAACCACCGTTGTTCGGCCTCGTTCATAACTACTTGAACTCGGCATTCTTAACAAGGGCTTGGGACGGTCTCGCTTCATGCAGGTCGGCGTTCAATCCCCGACCGTCCACAAGTGGTTGGGCACCATTCCTTTCCCCCGTCCCATCCCAAATCCTTATCCTGACCCCTTCCCAGTGCTATATAGTCGTAATGGCTCGGCGCTTTCCCCCCTGATAGTTCCCTTCCCTCCCCCCCTTCCCTATTAACCCCCCCCCTAGGGGTCTGACGGCTGAGTGGACATCGCTCGGGATTCGTAGTCCTGAAGTCCCGGGTTCGATCCCCGGTGGATGCGGAAACTAATGGGTACAGTTTCTTCACCCTGATGCTCCCTGTTCACCTAGCAGTAAATAGGTACCTGGGAGTTAGACAGCTGCTACGGGCTGCTTCCTGGGGGTGGAAGCCTGGTCGAGGACCGGGCCGCGGGGACGCTAAGCCCCGAAATCATCTCAAGATAACCTGATTCTTCCCTCCTCACTCCCAAGACACTCGGCGTTTAAAGTTTTAAATAATTATACATATTATATATATATGTATAATAATTATACATATTATATATATATGTATAATAATTATACATATTATATATATATATATATGTATAATAATTATACATAAATATAATTCACTATTATTAATTTATAATTTCATTTAAAAGAACAACTAATTATTTGTAATTATTAATTATTATTGAAATTAAACTTGTAATTTAGTATCAAATTTGTACCGCGACGTTTTTATCTCTTAAGAAATTACAGTGAACCAGTACAAGGTCTTACTTTGATACCGCCAACATACACACTTTACTTTATAATGTAAAATAAATGTCTCCGACAAAAAAAATAGAATGTATAAGTTATCCATTAACCGTTTCCGTTTTCTTTGAATTGTAACCACTGTTGCGTATAAGAAAACGGACACACTTCAGGCCTAACTTCGAAAGTCTCTGGGAACGCCTCAGGATTTTATCAACTCCATAGCTAAATATATTTTTTTTATATCCATACTCCCATCTCAGAAAGTTGTATATAAAATGTTTAGTTTAGCAGGAGCCACCAGACTAGTACCCGAGCTGAGAGGTATGAGCTACGAGGAGAGACTACGGGAGTTAAACCTCACGTCACTGGGAGACAGAAGAGTTAGGGGTGGACATGATCACCACATACAAGATTCTCGAAGGAATTGATAGGGTAGATAAAGACAGGCTATTTAACACAAGGGGCACACGCACTAGGGGACACAGGTGGAAACTGAGTGCCCAAATGAGCCACAGAGATATTAGAAAGAACTTTTTTAGTGTCAGAGTGGTTGACAAATGGAATGCATTAGGCAGTGATGCAGCACAGGCCCTCAGCGTGCCTCTGAAAATGATCTTTAATGAGTCACTTATGTCGGGAGAATTGCCCAGTTGCTGGAAGAAGGCAAATGTCGTGCCGATCTTCAAGAAAGGTGATAGGGAGGAGGCACTTAACTATAGACCTGTATCACTGACAAGCATCCCCTGTAAAATACTGGAAAGAATAATTAGGCTACGACTGGTTGCACACCTGGAGAACGTTAGGTTTGTGAACAAACATCAACATGGGTTCTGGACAGGGAAATCGTGCCTAACAAACCTTCTGGAATTCTATGATAAAATAACGAGGATAAGACAGGACAGAGATGGTTGGACAGACTATATTTCTGGACTGCCAAAAAGCCTTTGATACAGTACCGCACATGAGACTGCTGTTCAAGCTCGAGAGGCAGGCGGGGGTGGGGGAAGAGGTCCTAGCATGGATAAGGAACTACCTAACAGGAAGGAGCCAAAGAGTTACGGTAAGGGGCGAGAAGTCGGACTGGCGAACAGTAACAAGTGGAGTACCACAAGGATCGGTGCTGGGACCAATTCTATTTCTTGTATATGTTAACGACATGTTTACAGGAGTAGAGTCCTAGATGTCGATGTTTGCGGATGACGCAAAGTTGATGAGAAGAGTTGTGACAGATGAGGATTGCAGGATCCTCCAAGAGGACCTGGACAGGTTGCAGAGATGGTCAGAGAAATGGCTTCTGGAGTTCAACACGAGCAAATGTAAAGTTATGGAAATGGGACTAGGAGATAGGAGACCAAAGGGACAGTACACAATGAAGGGGAACAGCCTACCTGTGACGACGCGTGAAAGAGACCTGGGGGTGGACGTAACACCTAATCTATCTCCTGAGGCACATATAAATAGGATAACGACAGCAGCGTACTCTACACTGGCAAAAGTTAGAACATCATTCAGAAACCTAAGTGAGGAGGCTTTTAGGGCGCTTTACACTGCCTACGTGAGGCCAGTCTTAGAGTATGCCGCCTCATCATGGAGTCCCCATCTGAAGAAGCATATAAGAAAACTGGAAAAGGTTCAGAGGTTTGCAGCGAGACTCGTCCCAGAGCTACGAGGGATGGGGTATGAGGAGCGCCTGAGGGAACTGTGCCTTACGACACTAGAAAGAAGAAGGGAGAGGGGGGACATGATAGGAACGTATAAGATACTCAGAGGGATTGACAGAGTGGACATAGACAAAATGTTTACACGGAATAGTAACAGAACGAGGGGACATGGATGGAAGCTGGAAACTCAGATGAGTCACAGAGATGTTAGGAAGTTTTCTTTTAGCGTGAGAGTAGTGGGAAAATGGAATGCACTTGGGGAACAGGTTGTGGAAGCAAATACTATTCATAATTTTAAAACCAGGTATGATAGGGAAATGGGACAGGAGTCATTGCTGTAAACAACCGATGCTCGAAAGGCGGGATCCAAGAGTCAATGCTCGATCCTGCAGACACAACTAGGTGAGTACACACACACACACATGGGGGTGTTTGGTAGCTGAGTGGACAGCGCGCAGGACTCGTAACTCTGTGGCCCGGGTTCGATTCCCGGACCAGTCAGAAACAAATGGGCTTTTCCTTCACCCAGATGTCTCTTGTTACCTAGCAGTAAATAGGTACCTGGGAGTTAGCCTGCTGTTAAGCTGTTACAGAGTGTGTACTCACCTAGTTGTGTCTGCAGGATCGAGCATTGACTCTTGGATCCCGCCTTTCGAGCATCGGTTGTTTACAGCAATGACTCCTGTCCCATTTCCCTATCATACCTGGTTTTAAAATTATGAATAGTATTTGCTTCCACAACCTGTTCCTGAAGTGCATTCCATTTTCCCACTACTCTCACGCTAAAAGAAAACTTCCTAACATCTCTGTGACTCATCTGAGTTTCAAGCTTCCATCCATGTCCCCTCGTTCTGTTACTATTCCGTGTGAACATTTCGTCTATGTCCACTCTGTCAATCCCTCTGAGTATCTTATACGTTCCTATCATGTCCCCCCTCTCCCTTCTTCTTTCTAGTGTCGTAAGGCACAGTTCCCTTAGGCGCTCCTCATACCCCATCCCTCGTAGCTCTGGGACGAGTCTCGCTGCAAACCTCTGAACCTTTTCCAGTTTCCTTATATGCTTCTTCAGATGGGGACTCCATGATGAGGCGGCATACTCTAAGACTGGCCTCACGTAGGCAGTGTAAAGCGCCCTAAATGCCTCCTTACTTAGGTTTCTGAATGATGTTCTAACTTTTGCCAGTGTAGAGTACGCTGCTGTCGTTATCCTATTTATATGTGCCTCAGGAGATAGATTAGGTGTTACGTCCACCCCCAGGTCTCTTTCACGCGTCGTTACAGGTAGGCTGTTCCCCTTCATTGTGTACTGTCCCTTTGGTCTCCTATCTCCTAGTCCCATTTCCATAACTTTACATTTGCTCGTGTTGAATTCCAGTAGCCATTTCTCTGACCATCTCTGCAACCTGTAACCTGTACTCACCTAGTTGTGTTTGCGGGGGTTGAGCTCTGGCTCTTTGGTCCCGCCTCTCAACCGTCAATCAACAGGTGTACAGATTCCTGAGCCTATCGGGCTCTGTCATATCTACACTTGAAACTGTGTATGGAGTCAGCCTCCACCACATCACCCCCTAATGCATTCCATTTGTCAACCACTCTGACACTAAAAAAGTTCTTTCTAATATCTCTGTGGCTCATTTGGGCACTCAGTTTCCACCTGTGTCCCCTTGTGCGTGTTCCCCTTGTGTTAAATAGACAAATAGTGTGTGTGTGTGTGTGTGTGTGTGTGTGTGTGTGTGTGTGTGT